AAAAATGAGATAATTTTCGGTAAATACTTGAGTGTGCTGGTATGAGTTTGATTGGAATCTATGAACAAGTTTGAAAGAAACTGTCGGAAACAGGAATATGGGAATTAAATATAAATAGAAGAGGTTCGGAAAAATCAAAATTTTTTAAGGAGACTTTCATCGTAAAATTTGCTTAAAATACTCCCAAAACTTGGATTTTTATACCCTGCACTATTATGTTGTGAGGGTTTATACGTTTCTGCGGCCCTAACTCCTCGCAATGTCATAGAGGACATTATGTGGGCCCTAGGTAGGATTCCCGGAATGGGAATGAAAGCTATTTCAGTGGCGGGACCACTATATGGTAGCTATACCGATATTAATAATTTCTGGTAGGATGATTTTACACCTAATAGAACCCAAAATAGGTAGGATTCCCGGAATGGGAATGAAAGCTATTTCAGTGGCGGGATCGCTATATGGTAGCTAGACCGATATTAATAATTTCTGGTAGGATGATTTGACACCTAATAGAACCCAAAATATTTTGTATATGCCGCAAAGTTTTGGCATACATATTTGTCAACCTCCCAGAATCTGAAATATGAATTTTGCAGCCACTTTGTGGAGCCAGACGCAGAATTTAGGCATTTCATCATTATTAATAAGTTTTGGTAAGGAGATTTTCCAGCCCATATCTGAAATAACAACATTACATAAGTGGATCTATAATAATATTTTTTGCTAGGAAGATTTCTTACTTAAGGGGACCCCCCAATTCTCGGGTTCAAAATTTTTGGATATAATACGAATCTACACTAATTAAGGAATGTCCCTATAAAATTGCAAGTGAAAGTCTCAAGAACTCTTGAAGATATAGCCGATTTATTGTGTCATCAAGTGACGGCTGAAGGACTTCTTAAATTTTAAACACGTTTTTCTCTGAACTTTTTTTTGCGAATGGCGGGCAGGATAACTCAAAAACTATGTGCAAAGTTACAAACCTTAACAAGCATTGGTATTGATTGACCAGCCCATTGAAAATCTTGAAAAAAAGGGGGGGGGGTTCCCTTAATCGAAACTAAAAAGAGGAAGATTTCTTATTTAATCGAAAGTAGAAATACCGAATATCACGCTCTGACATTTTCCCAATAAATTAATCATTGTGTTGTTATTTTTTATAACCTGTGAAGTATAGTCGCACAAATACCACCAAAATATAACATTCTGTGGTTCTGTATTCTGAACCTGGGCATATTTGAAACCTCTTGACCGATTATAGGTCACAGCACCACATTCTAACCCTGGCATATTATCCAAATCTTGTTTTCCCGAATATTTACGTCATAAATTAAAAATTTGATTACTTTGGCTTTTGGTTGATTTAAACCTCGGATTATTTAGTCAGATCGCCTGTACCGTGTAAACAATGCAATTTTCTGCATATAATAATGGTCCTCTAGAGCGACTAGAAAATCTGGCAGATATAAAGTACTCGGTTCATTGCACTCCCTAAATATTATTTGATCATCTCCGAAAATATAGGGATCGACCTTGACCACAATCGGACCTTCATGTAAAATTTTATAGCGATCAGTGCTATATTTCCGCCCACTATTGTGGCCCTCTAATGTGGTTTACTGAAAATATTTATATATCAACCATATCAACCACTCCTCTTGGATATACTAACAACTTCTAGGGTCTATGTCCTTCAGGAGTAAATATATACCCCAAAGAATATGACACAATATATACCCCAAAGAATATGAATATGACATTTTTCACACAAAAGTCGGGGTCCATTTGACCAGCTAAATATTAACCGATCTTCATCAAAGCAGTCATGCTTATTCTATGATCAGACTCCTACCTCGGAGTAAAATTTCATGGTATTCGGGTCATAATTGTGGTCTGTAGAGCGTCAAGAAAAGCAGACAAAAATTAAGTTTTTGGGTCGATTTCATTCCCTAAATATTAACGGATGATCAGGAATTCATTGGCCAGAATCCGTCCTAAAAGAAAAAAAATCTTTATTGTTGTACGGACACACATATCTAGATCGTCTCAGCTAGTCGAGATATAATATGATCGGTATTCTAAATGGTGGGTCTAGGACCAAAATTGTACAAACTCATGGGGCCACACAGAGCCATAATACCTTGGCAACATGGTTGTAAAGGGTGTAAATAGCGAATATTGGAGTGTATCGTCGCTCCGACATTTGCCAAAAAAAAAAATTAATCCTATTGTCTATTTATTATTTTTTTTTTTTAATTAGGTTCTTGAATGTTATCATTTTTTTTTTAAGTCGGTGCTTGAATAGGCCCTTAAAATTAGTTTCTTTGATTCCACGATTACCACATTTGCAATAAAAGACATTATCACAACAGCCTATTATTACAGTGTTGGTTCTTCCTAGCGGACATTATACTCTCCTCGTCATTGTGCTCATTTTTATTATCCGCTTCATAGTGATCACCATCTTCGAGGCACTCATCGAGCCTTAGTGGTAGCGGCCTCCTGAGCAAGGAATTTTTTCCGTTCCATATTTGTCAGAGTTCTAAATTCATTACAAGATCGCACTTGATGCAGTGTGTCATTACCCACCCCCATTACTGGACAACAAACTTATGATTCCGGAAATGATGAGGCGGATGCTGTTATTCTAAGACTTCAGGGAGATCTTTTATTTTCAAAAAAGTACCTGAGGAAAGTTTGCTTTAAAAAATCTATCATATGTAAGTCTTTCAAATTTTCCATTTTATATTCTCAAAAAAATCTTAGAATAGTAAGATTTTTTGGAATTTTGTATAAATTCATAGGGAGAAGTACTCTTGAATATATTTATATAAATAGAAAGAACTTAGAAGGATGGAAACCCTGCTCAAAGGCTTCTGTAAATAAACGGACTTCAACGCTTAGCGGCTTGGTCTTCTATAGATAGAATACTTTAGGAGGAGATTTTCAGGTGTTTAACATAGGTCTCCTTGTACCTACATGACCGTCCCTAGATTTATCCCTACTTCCCATGTTGAATATTTTAAGGTTTCCATAAGGTCCTCTATAAATAGAATACTTTATGACGAAATTTGAGGTATTTACCATAGGTTTCCTTGCACCTAGATGATCGTCCACAGATTTTTCCCAACTTCCCATATTAAATTTGGCTACACTTTCTGCAAAAATAAAAATATTTTTTTAATCTACTTTAAATCTCCAATTTACCCATTTTGTTGTTGGGACAATTTAAACATTGACCCAATATCACAATTTAACCAACAATGATGGTCATAAATTCAAACGTTATCTGTGAGACACAAACAAAATTCGGTCATTAGTGGATCGTTAGTTCAGCTTCTCGATTTTCCCCGGTGCTACAATTTTTGTAACAAAAAAAAAAAAAATGAATTTTTGCAAACATGGTAAATCGATATTAAGCCTATAAATTATAACACCTGTCGTTAGCTCGTTACAGGTTTACTGTTCTCCATACAATTGGCAGTTTTCTCTTTCATTGCCTTCACTTCCCTTTGACGCCTATTTCTCCTATAACCTAGCATATAACTGTCATGTAATCATAATAAATTTTTAAAATTTGTTCAAAATTTTTTTTTTCGTTTGTGATTTGGAAAAACAACAGCAAAAAAAAATACAACAACTAAATATTTGTGTTTTTTTTATGATGACATACCATTAAGCGAAAGAGAGAGGCGTGGGGTGAGGCTATAGGGGCAGGATTGCTATTCTAGGTGAATGGATGTTTAGCTGCGCAATACGAATTTCACTGCCAAATCCAGTCATTATTCAGAGTTTGCCAATTTTTGGCTCGTGCCCATTTAAAATCACTTGCAGCGGCCGCAATGACGGCAACAGCCTCATTGCCAATATCACCGGGAAAATCTCCTCCTCGTCGACTGTGAATGCCATTAGGATTTTTTAGAAGAGTTTTGCTTTTGTTTGACTTTTTCGTGGGCAAACGATGCAGCTGTTGCTTGTGCTGATGCTGGTGGTGGTGGTGCTGTGGCTGATGTTGGTGATGGCTGTGTTGTCATGTAGCTGCATCATTGGCAGCCTCCTCATTTCAGCTGGTCACGAGCGATGTCGCAGTAGGCCAGTGGAACAGATTGTCATGATGTAAATCGGGTGACTGTTCCGATTGCTGTTGTTGTTGTTGCTGGTGCTGTTGTTGTTGTTCACGTTGTTCATGTTGCTGCATATGAAGTACATGTTGCGGCGCTTGGCTGCCTGATTTGAAATGTATTGTCTGTGGCTGTTGTTGTTGCTGTTCTCGTTCGGGTAATTGTCTTTGCAGTGGCATACATGACAGCGAAGGCATGGACGATGTGGATGTCGAAGACATGGACGCACCGCTGTGTTGATGCTGATGCAAATGCTGATGATGTTGCTGCTGTTGGTGTTGTTGTTGTTGCTGGCCATGCAAATGATATGAAGGCGGATGAGCCAATGTTGCATTGCCGGCATGCAGCTGCAATTGTAGCTCTTGCGGCTGATGGTATTCATGTTCATGTTCGAAGTAATGCTGTTCCTGTTCATGATATTGCGGTGGCTGTTGGTGGTGGTGGTGGTTATGCAGATGATGCGAGTGTGAGTGCGGCAGTTGATGGCCATGCTGTTGCCCGGCTGCATGATGATAGAAGGGCAATGTTGCTGCCGAATTGGGTGTGGCCGAGGGGCCCACTGTCATTGCCGTGGTCATGGCTGTCATTGACGATGACGCTGACAGGGAGCTGGGCTGTTGCAGGCCCCTTATGCTATCCACTGGGTGGGCAGTGTAAATGTTGCTTCGTCTAAGGTGATTGTTATTGCCATTTGGTCGTTTATTGCGTGACCACCACTGGACATGCGTGTCTGTGTGTGCGCCGAGCATTGAGAGGAGAGAAGAAAGAGAAAATTCACCATTTTAATTTTTTGAGAATTTTTTTTGATTCGAGTTTCATTTGTTTTGGTTTTTTTTGTATGAGTATGAATTTTGAGTTCTGATTCTAAAAAGTCACAGTCTAAGGTCGTTCCATGCCATTGCCCGAAGCAGCCACCACCACAACAGCCGTTATCGATTCCTGCATGGTTGGCTCTTCATAGACATAATGCTCGGGCATTAGACTCTCATCGTCATTGTGCTCATCCTCATCGTCCGCCTCGCCTTCATAGTGATCCACATCCTCGAGACACTCATCGGGCCTGGGCGGCAGTGGCCTCTTCAACATGGAATTTTCCCGTTCCATATTTGTCAGCGATTTGAATTCATTATGCGATCGCACCTGATACAGTGTGGTCAAACTTGTTTGGGTCGTTCCACCACTGCTACTGTTGTCATTCGACGAGGACGACGAACTGATGGTGCGCGGATGATGGGGATGATGTGATGAGGACGATGTCGTTATGGTCGACATTGTCGTCGACGAATGTTGCATCCCCATCATCGTCATGCCCAGGGTGGGACGACGGTTGTTGTGGTGCTGTTGTTGTTGTTGATGATGTTGGCTGCTTACAGGTAATTGCTTGAAATTCTGTATGGTAGCAGATGGTTGTAAGAGATATTGATGTGATGTCGATGTCATATTTGGAGGGGGATAGAAAAGATTGTGATGGTGGTTTTGGTGGTGGTGGTGGTTGTGTTCGTTATTATGATGATGGTGATCGACAGAGGGAAGTGGCAATTGTTGTTTGGGGGAATGATGTTGACACTTACCGCTGCGCTGATGGGAGGTCTTTTTTCTGGAAAGAAAAAGAAGAAGAAACAAAAGGAATGAAATTATTGTAAAGGAAATTTAGTTTTTTTTTAATATTTTTTGGGGTATTAAAAGGTTTGGAAATTAAAAAGCGTGGAAGTTCAAAAAAAAAAAATATTTATGACGGAAAACTACGAAGGCGTGGATTTTAAAAACAAATATATTTTTCGGGGTATTAAAAAGACGTGGATGATTTAAAAAATAATTGTTTAAATATTACAAAAGCGTAGATTTAAAAAAAATAATATTTGAAATATTCCAAAGCGTAAATAATTTTTTTTTTAAATATTACAAAAGCGTGGATTAAAAAAAATATTTTCGTGGTATCGAAAAGGTGTGGATGTTTTAAAAAATGTTTGTCGTGGTTTTGAAAAAGATGAGCATGTTCGAAAAATGTCTTCGGGATATTAACAAGGCGTGGATGTTTTAAAAAATATATTTTTCGGTGTATTGAAAGGTGTTGAAAAGGCGTGGATATTTTTAGAAATATTTTTCGTGGTATTGAAAAGGCGTTTATGACTTAAAAAATATTTGTTTATATATTTCAAAAGCGCGGATTGAAAAATATATATACGGAAATTCTAAATTGACCGATTCTATTGTTTTTAAAAAGTTTTTGAAAAGTATCACTTACCTTCTACATTTTACAACAGCAATCATTATAATGGCTCCTAAAATGGCTGATAATATTGAAACAATTGTTAAAGTTAGGGGCCAGCCTAACTCGGATGCTTTTTCTGAAATGAAAAAAGAGGGAAATATTATATTTTACAAAATTTTCCTTAATTAAAACAAATTTTTGAATATTCAACTTTTATATCTCTCAAAAATGTACCCAAATTCCAGAATTCTTAATTTTTTATTATTCCTCCTCATCCTGTTTTTTTTTCTTTTACAATGTTACATTTTTTTCTACTTGTCTTGGCCAGTCAGTCATGTTGTCATGTCCCATGCCTGGTATTCCCATATCAGCTTCATCTTGGACAATATCATTTGATTTTATTGGCAAATAAATTTGATTTTACAATTTTTTTATTCGTTTACTGCCGTTGCTGTTGAAATTTTCCTCATTTTTTATTACGAAGCAGTAGTCAACAGTCACAGTCGAACCCCGCCACCCAGTAGTCAGCATATTTGTATTTGATGGTATGTGATGGACAGGACAAACCTGTCCATCGATTTGTCTATTTGTATGAATGTTGTTTGCTTGGCATTTAAACAAAAAAAGAACCCTTTTCAACGCCTGACTTTCTGTCTGTCCGTCCGTTTGTCTGTCATCTGTTTGTGTCGTCTATCTATCTTCCAACATGGAGGACTTCTACTCTTCTACTGCCAGCTCCTTTGCTACTTACCCATGGTGCCTTCAAATATAAATGTACTTTTTGTTGGCATTGCCCAGGAGCACAAATCACATGTTGTCAAGCCATCACTCAATACGGGTTCGTCAACAAAGAACGGTGGCCGTGGCGGCGGTGGCACGAACCGACCATTCCACAGACCATTTTCACTGGCATCGAATGGCATTGGCGAGCCGAACAAATCGTTGTCATTGTCATCGAAAATATCGAATGATAGATCCCGAAAATTATTGCTAAAATCCTCTGCTGAGCTGGCCACTAGACTCTCAACGACAGGCGGACTATATGATGGATAAAATTCGGAGGATGCAGCTAGAATCGATGATGCGGAGGAGGCAGAGGCGGACGACAATATGCTATCACTGGCGGAGGTTAGTTCTGTCGCTGACGATGATGATGATGCTGTGTAGGAGGTGGCAGAGTATTTGGTGTCAACGGCAGACCTTGTGTCATCACTGCTACCACCACCACCGGGTGATAAGGATGCTGATGTTAAAGGCAGGAAATTCGAAACTACTACGGAAGCTACATGGGATATAGAGGTTAAACCAGTAGAGCTATTGATTTCAGAACCCAATAAAGATGATGTTGAGGTGGTGGTAATGGCTGAGGATGACGATGCTGATGATGCCGTGAATGGTTGTTCTCCATCCACCGCTGTAGTTGTTGTTGTTGCTGTTGGACTGTGTAGCCTTTCTTCGAGTGAGGGCAACAATATCGTATTATTGTAGTGATATGCCTTTGACAATGCCATCCTTGCTGCTGCGGCCACCGTCGATGATGGTGATGGCCCAGCATCGATTGCTTTCACTGTTGAGGGCATTTTTTGTTATTTTGCTTCTTTTTATCTATGTAACTACTACTTCGGTGACTGCGCTTGCTGCTGGTACTGGTATTTATTGGGGATTATGGCATTGAAGAGTTATGGGTTAACTAAAAATAGACAAGAAAGGATACAAAAAGGAATTAGATTAAATATGTTATACTTCTAAAGGAAATTTAAGATTATAAATATAAAAATACAAATTAAAAGAATTTTTTATGTTTAAAATATATATATATATATATATATATTTTGTTAATATTACACATTAGCCAGGGTTTTATAACATATTTATTCTAGGGGGGATTTTTTAGGAACATTTTTAGGGACATTTTTAGGGAATGCAGGCATAGATCTTGAAACAATACTAAAATTACTGCCTCGGATAAAAATTATTTTTTGAGATATCAGAAAATTCGTAGATTTCTTAAAAAATATTTTTTGACGGACCAGCAAAGGCGTGGCTTATTTAATAATAATTCTTTTATATACCGGCAATTGCGTGGATTTCATAAATTTCTTAAAATATATTTTTTGAAAGACCAGCAAAGGCGTGAATTTCTAAAAATTACTATTTTATTTCATTACATAGGATTTTAAAAAAAAATACTCTACTTTTTAAAAACATTTTTGTATGTATTATCCAGGATTTTTATACCCTTCACCACACTGTGGTACAGGGTATTATGTCTTTGTGCATATGTTTGTAACAGGCAAAAATAATCGAGATAGACCCATGGTTCCTTTTGAGAATATGCATAGAATCACTTTCTGAGTCGATTTATGCATGTCCGTCCGTCCGTCCGTCCGTCTGTCCGTCTGTCCGTCTGTCCGTCTGTCTGTCCATGTTAAATTGTAAACAAAGTACAGGTCGCATTTATGATCCGAATTGGATGAAATTTGGCACAAGTCACTTATTTGGCCCAAGGACGAACCCTATTGAAATTGGGAAAAATCGGTTCAGATTTAGATATAGCTCCCATATATATATTTAACCGATTTAATGTAAACGGTCCCTATATATCTTTCGATTTGCACGAAACTTGGTACAGCCTAATCATTTAGGTCTAGAATGATGTCTGCCAAGTTTCGTGAAAATCGGTCCAGATTTAGATATAGCTCCCATATATAGTTTCGTCCGATTTCATGTAAATGGTGCACCAAAGTCCCTATATATCATTCGATTTGCACGAAATTTGGCATAACGTAATGAATTAAGCCTAGAGTGATGTCTGCCAAGTTTCGAGAAAATCGGTTCAGATTTAGATATAGCTCCCATATATAGTTTCGTCCGATTTCATGTAAATTGTGCCCCAAAGTCCCTATATATCTTTCGATTTGCACGAAATTTGGCATAACGTAATGAATTAAGCCTAGAGTGATGTCTGCCAAGTTTCGAGAAAATCGGTTCAGATTTAGATATAGCTCCCATATATAGTTTCGTCCGATTTCATGTAAATGGTGCCCCAAAGTCCCTATATATCTTTCGATTTGCACGAAATTTGGCATAACGTACTGAATTGAGCCTAGAATGATGTCTGCCAAGTTTCGTGAAAATCGGTCGTGATTTAGATATAGCTTCCATATATAGTTTCTCCCGATTTTAGGTAAATGGTGCACCAAAGTCCCTATATATCCTTCGATTTGCACGAAATTTGGCATAACGTACTGAAGTGAGCCTAGAGTGATGTCTGCCAAGTTTCAAGAAAATCGGTCCAGATTTCTATATAGCTCCCATATATACTTTCGTCCGATTTCATGTAAATGGTGCGCCAAAGTCCCTATATATCTTTCGATTTGCACGAAATTTGGCATAACGTACTGAATTGAGCCTAGAATGATGTCTGCCAAGTTTTGATAAAATCGGTTCAGATTTAGATATACCTCCCATATATAGTTTCGTCCGATTTCATTTAAATGGTGCCCCAAAGTCCCTATATATCTTTCGATTTGCACGAAATTTGGCATAACGTACTGAATTGAGCCTAGAGTAATGTCTGCAAAGTTTTGATAAAATCGGTTCAGATTTAGATATACCTCCCATATATAGTTTCGTCCGATTTCATTTAAATGGTGCCCCAAAGTCCCTATATATCTTTCGATTTGCACGAAATCGTTCTGAATTAAGCGTAGAGTGATGTCTTCCAAGTTCCGAGAAAATCGGTCCAGATTTAGATATAGCTTCCATATATAGTTTCGTCCGATTTCATGTAAATGATGCACCAAAGTCCCTATATATCTTTCGATTTGCACGACATTTGGCATAACGTACTGAATTGAGCCTAGAATGATGTCTGCCAAGTTTCGTGAAAATCTGTCCTGATTTAGATATAGCTCCCATATATAGTTTCGCCCGATTTTAGGTAAATGGTGCACCAAAGTCCCTATATATCCTTCGATTTGCACGAAATTTGGCATAACGTACTGAATTGAGCCTAGAGTGATGTCTGTCTTGTTTCGTGAAAATCGGTCCAGATTTAGATAGAGCTTCCTTTTAAAATCCGCATAAAGTTAGAGTTCCGTGGTATTTGTGAAGGGTATCGTATAGTTGGCCACGTCTGACTATACTTCTCCGCTCACTGGTTTTAAATTATTTTTCTCTTCCTACACCAAATTTAATCTCTTTCAGTTAAATTCGTTAATACATTGTTTGGCTAGTAAGTAAGTTTTCATAAAATTAAAACCATCCTAATTAGCTAAAATGTGCTCATGCACAAACACACAAAGGCAGAATTATAGCACAAAAATAAAATTTTAAATTACAAACCATTCTCCTCCTACCAAATTTTAGGCAATTAGAACAGAAGCATTTACGTTACGTTCGTAATAAGTAGTGGGTCTTTCGAATTGTTTTAAAACTCCAAGGCTTGCTCCTGTCGCTTCCTTTCATATCCCCACTCCATGTGGAGGAGGTATTTTAGGTATCAACTTTTGATAAATCCCTTTTTTTAAATCCAAGTAAATACCATCACTACTCACACCCACTAGACCATTTTGACCATGGAACTTTTTCATGACACACACAGCCAATGATAATTTGGTCATAAAATAGTACACTAACACACACACACAGCCCCACAGACTTACGATAATTGTAACAATTTTATACGGGAGGGAGATTACATTAATTACCGTAGCAATAGATTCAACTTAGATTGGATGGATGGAATGGAATGGTAGCAAACAATTCTGCTATACCAACCATTTTGGTGAGGGGGTGTAAGATAGAGAGAGATAGAGAGAGAGAGAGGGGGGCGTACACAAAAATTGAGAAGTAAAATAAAAAATAAGTCTGACCGAAAAACTGACAATAGTCAATGATGTGTAAGAGGATTTCAAAAGGATAACTTGTAACTAATCTAATTTGTTTGTGGGTGGGTGTTTTGAAGTTTATCTCGGTCAAGTGGTGGAGGGGAATATATATATGTGTTTGCAGCAATGTGAAGCAGTATATCTATTTTTTTGTCCAGCTAAGTGGATAACTTTGATTAAATGAAGAGCTATTAGAGGATTTTTATGAATTTTTTAAAAGTTAAAAAAATAATATTCAGCTGAAATTGCTGGACAAATGTTGAACATGAAATCCCATGCCAATATTGGCTGGCGTATAAAAGAAGTGTAATATATGTAAATAAATTGAGAATACGCATAGAATCACTTTCTAAGTCGATTTATGCATGCCCGTCCGTTCCTCCGTCTGTTGGTGTTAAATTGTAAACAAAGTACAGGTCGTATTTATAATCCAATTTGGATGAAATTTGCCACAGCTCATTCATTTGGCCCAAGGACGAACCCTATTGAGTACTAAATTAAGACTAGAATGATGTGTGCTAAGTTTCGTGAAAATTGGTTCAAATTTGGATATAGCTCCCATATATATTTTCGTCCGATTTTATGTAAATGGTGCACCAAAGTCCCTATATATCATTCGATTTGTAGGAAATGTGGCATAGCGTACTGAATTAAGTCTAAAGTGATTTGTGCTAAGTTTCGTGAAAACCGGTTCAGATTTCGATATAGCTCCCATATATAGTTTTGACCGATTTTATGTAAATGGTGCACCAAAGTCTTTATAAACATTCCGATTTGCACGAAATTTGGAACAGAGTACTGAATTAAGCCTAGAATGATGTGTGCTAAGTTTCGTGAAAATCGGTTCAGATTTAGATATAGCTCCCATATATATATATATATATATATATTCGTCCTATCTAAGGTAAATGGTGCACCAAAGTTCCTAAATATTTTTCGATTTGCACGAATTTTGGCACAGCGTACTGAATTAAGCCTAGAATGATGTGTGCTAAGTTTCGTGAAAATCGGTTCAAATTTGGATATAGCTCCCATATATTTTTTCGTCCGATTTTATGTAAATGGTGCACCAAAGTCCTTATAAATTTCTCGATTTGCACGAAATTTGCCAAAGCGTATTGAATTCAGCCTAGAATGATGTGTGCTAAGTTTCGTGAACATCGGTTTAGATTTAAATATAGCTCACATATATATATATGGTGCACCAAAGTCCTTATAAATCTTCCGATTTGCACGAAATTTGGCACAGCGTACTGAATTCAGCCTAGAATGATGTGTGTAAGTTTCGTGAAAATCGGTTCAGATTTAGATATAGCTCGCATATATATTTTCATCCGATTTGAGGTAAATGGTGCACTTTGGTGCTCCAAAGTCCCTAAATATCTTTCGATTTACACGAAATTTGGCAAACCATATTGAATAAAGCCTAGAATGATGTGTGCTCAGTTTCGTGAAAACCGGTTCAGATTTAGATGTTGCTCAATATATATATTTTCGTCCGATTTAAGACAAATGGTGCACCAAAGTCCCTATTTATCTTTCGATTTTCTGGAAATTTGGCACAGCGTATGTCTAGATTAACGTGTGTTAAGTAAATTATGCACCCAAAGTTACGCAGATTGTCAGAAAATGTTGCGCAACGTACCGAAGTTTTTTGAGGTTTGTATAGAGCCCTCAGACTTATACCA